ATTTTCTTTCCTTTCTTCTATTTCCTTGCTATATTTTTGTATCTATTCTTGCCATATTTTTTTTTTGTATCCTTTTTTAAACAAATTAAGCACTCCCAAAATGATTCTAGGGCTTCCTTGGCTAAATCTCAAACCAGTCACTGATGAATTTTCGTGTCCTAAATTTTCTGTTTTCCTAGTTTATTTCTGCATCCATCCGAATAAATCTGGCATCAGCCTAACTGGATTTCGCGGCCTTTTTTTAAGGTTTCCGGAATTTCGTGGTCTTTTTTTAAGTTTTTCGGAATTTCGTGGCCTTTTTTTAATTTTTTCGGAATTCTCCCTGCAAGAATAATTTAACCCCTCCCCCCTGCATCAAAGACCTATCCCCTACAAGAGAGGACAGTGCTGTCATTACATTTTTGACATACATAATTGCTGCTTGGCCAAGGGAGATACGGCTGTTAACAAGCATTCAGTTTCTTTGTGTTTAGTATTCTAAAAGACTACCTACTCTTCACCCGATGTTTTATGCTACAAGGCACTAAGGTACAACGAAAAGAGCCGATTAACAGCAAGTAGCAGGCTTTTAATATTTTTCTTCCAGAGGGTTGATTCAGATATAAGTTAAATACAAAGGGATACCAACAATATTCAAAGTCTGCCCGAGCAATCGGTGCCTGCTGTTAGTGATGCTACTGGAATGCTCCTACACGCCGAGTGCAGCTATCTCAGGTCTTTCAATCCTGAGATAATACAAAACGACATTTAAAAAAAGATTACAGTGTCCGCTAGATAAAACATTACATAGGCGATACAGCGACGTTAGCCATTTCTTTGATAAATTTTTCACGATGAATGATATTTGTAGCTGCGATAATGATGCGCAAATTATGATGCTGTGCGAGCAATGTGAGCGCCGCAACTTCAGCGTACGTTACGCCACCAATGAAAAAGACCAAAATTGCTTTCCGAATTCGACTATCCGGTGGCCGACTCGCTCGAGTATACGAATTCTGCTCACAGAAAACTGAATCGCCAAAAGTTGCCTTCATTTCCTGCATATTCCACCCATTACTTACAGTATCGCCAACGATTTTGCACAACACCGGAGTATATGCACCGGAGAAAACGTAACGCATTTGATCTGGATTTCGAAGATCCATGGTAGGCTCGGCGGCGCCAGGTAGAAGAGCCATACGGCGGGCAAGATACTGGAAAGTTGGCCTGGAAAATGAGGACGTGGATTGCGATCTGCTTGCTAAAACCTTGTGAACAGCAGCCAGCTGTGGTGCGGAGCGTTCAGTCAGAAGACCTTGTTTTCCCAGAAAATGCAATACCGGTAGGTTTTCATGACCATAGGCATGGAGGTACTGCCTTCGAAAAGACGTAAAATACTTTGTTGGGATGCCATTTTGGGTCAGGGACCACAGGCAAGCCAGGATGAGTACCTGCCATTGGCTGCGCTGAGCACACATACAATCTTCCAGATAGGATATCACCTCATTTGGATCAAAGCTCCCCGAAACCAGTGAATGTTCCAGACTCAGCCGATCCGAAATGCCCTTGCACTTTTCGAGCACAGTTTCACAAGCACATATGTGAAGCTCCAGCAGTTTATGTTGCTGTTTGAGAGTGCGTAACTCATTGGAAACAAATTCCTTCATATCCTTCACTTGCTCCAAATTTGATCCTTTATCGTAACTTGCTTGCAGCGATTTTGCTTTGGCACTCAGGAATGGGAAGACAGCCGTCATGTGCATATTTCGCACAGCGGAAAATATCGAATCATTGTTATCCAGGGTGGTCACTTTGGGGCGATTCTTCTCGGCACCACCTTTCATACGCTTGTTGACCTCGTCACCGAATGTTACTTTACCGCAACTAATCCCGAATGTATCATGTAGCATTGACTCGTAAGTTAGGCCGGTTAGGAGAACGGTGCTCAAATCCAGGCTACGGTCCAGCAGAAACAGATGACCAACCGGTTGATCGGGCGAAGAACGTGGTTCGCCCAGTTCACCGTACAACTTTTTCATCAGTTTATTTACATGGGCGCTGTTCTGGCCAACACCATAAACGATCGGAATGAGTCCATAAAGTGACTGCAACTGCCAAAGCGCTTTCGCAACCGATCGAAAGTGGACGAACGTGTGGTCGACCAAAGTGGAAGCAGTGAACTCATGATGCTCCAAGCTGAACAAATGCGAATCGATGCTGATAAGTGGCAGATCCAGCTCGAACACATCAATCATACCGAATACTCCGCGCCGTTCAAGCACCACTTCACAAATATACAATCGTTGCGGTACAAATATTACCGAGTAACTTCGCTCCGGCTCCGCCAGAATTTGCTCAGCGATACGTTTTGTTGCAGCAACTGTCGGGCGTACAATGTAAACACGCCGTGAAGATTGCTCACCCCA